ATAGTAATGGCATGGTTGAGACACCATGCCGAAGGACTCGGTAGGCAACAAGGGCGTAGTGGTCTTTGTGGACCGTTTGAGCAAGATGACTCATCTTGCGGCAGTGCCGGACACCATCGACGGTGTGGGTACAACGACGCTGTTTGTCGATTGTGTCTTTCAACAACATGGACCCCCGAAGTCAATTGTCTCTGATAGAGATCCGCCCTTCATTGCGGAGTTTGGTCTACAATCTTCGAGGTGCTGGGCACCAAGTTGACTATGTAAAAAGCGGACTACCCGCAGACCGATGGTCAGACTGAGCGCGTGAATCGCGTCGTTATAAACGTATTTCGCAGCGTCTCCGCTGAGACGCCGAAGCGCTGGAGCGCTTTGTTGCCACTCGTAGAGTTTGCTTTGATCAATGCAGTGCATTCATCTACCGGCTACACGCCGTCCTACGTGAACGAGCTTATTAATCCTCGCGTCTCGCTAACGCTGCCATCCCATGGCGCAGGGCTTTGTGGTGGGATAAATAGCCGAACGGCTAGCTGATGCCAGTTTTTTCATTTTGCGTAAAGAAGTCGAAGACTTTATGTCTACCAGAATGAGTGTCTTACGACACGTTCGCGATGCGATGACTGAATGCTAAGACATGCAGAAGAATATACAGACGTAAAAGAAAGAAGAAATGTTGAAAACATTGCGGTCGGAGATCTGGCTTTATTGAATGCTAAGAACCTCCTCACACATACAGTTACTGCTGTCCTTAAGACGAACATTCGTCGACGGTTTATTGGACCTTTTAAGATTGTGGCCAAGCGAGGCCTAGCGTATACGCTGAGCCTTCCGAGAAGGATGCGCACCCGCCCGTTGCTTTTTGTAGGCCTGCTTAAGCGGTTTCGGGATCCGGCGCACGTGAACGCGGAAGCATTTGCACCGGGGCAAAACCCAATGGCGCTCGGCCACCCAGAATTCGAACCAGCAACTGGTTCTTAACACGGAATGCAACAACTTTCGTTTTCAAAGCCGCAAGGCGCCTCACCGTCGCACTCAGTGACGTATTTGTCCGCTTGACGGCTAGGAGCCGCCCCGACAGAGCATGATAATCTTTAATGCGGGCAGTCGGCGCACAAACTGCTCCAAACTCTTTCAGCTCAGCGGTATACGACCTCGGCAGGATACTCAGCAGAGTACCGATGACGACAGACGTTGTCCTACAACGCATAAAGAGCATCGCAATTCACCGGACGGCGATCGACTAAGTGGTCATTGACCGCTGCCGGCTCTTCTAGATGCGAATGGTGGCGTCCCCAACCACGTGGGACGCCTAGTGGGTCAACGGCGTTGACGGGGTTTAACCCAATATCTTGTAAAGTGGCGGGAATAACGCAGGGCGACAATACGCACGGAGTAGACGTTGGGCCTTGAATTTTGCAAACTCAAATTTAAGATGGCGCTCAAGGCGCACGTCCACTTTACTGTGGCTTCGCTGTAAGGTAGGCAGCGAAGAAAATTTTCGGCGCCGCTGCACCTATCGCTCAAAGAGCTCATCGTCATCTACAGTGGTTCCGCCACTGTAGATGGCAGGAACAGGAGCACCTCCTTATTGATCTCGAAGGCGAGAGCGGTGCCGATCCATTTAGATTCCCTGCGACACCAAAAAGCGAGCTCGCGGAGCTTTCCGCTGATCAAGCTCAGCTTGTGTAATGGCTGGAGGCCCGACTACATGGACGCTTAACGATTTGAGGGATTGCGTCTTTCGCTCCAGTAGCGGGATCCGCCGAGCGGAAGCCGTATTCCACACAATGATCTAAGACCGAACGTGGATTCGAGCGCAGGAGAGCCGCTTTGTGAAAAGCCTCCAATTGCTGCTCCTGTGCGTCATCGAGGCGATTGGTAATAATACCACCTCCTCCGGAAGCCGAGAGGTCGAGGAACGGACATGGTGTCCGCAGAATTTGAGCTGGTCTCGATTCGCGCCGTTGGCGCTCTTCACCTTTCTCGTTATCCCATGCTGGGAAAGGATATTTTTTGGATCGTAGTCGACCGCATCTAACTCATCGACGAGAAAATTCGAGCGCGATGCGTTGTGCCCAGTTGCTGATAGCTCGGGATGTGGTTCCCGTAAAGCCACGGACGTACTGTCCGTAGATGCACCCTATGCAGAAGAAGAAGAACGGTTTTGCCCGCTGACACCCTCACTACAAGCTAGGCTGGGTGTCTTACGTGTCAGAGGAACAGGGCTCATAAAGCAGAGAGTATTTTTAGTTTGTTCCTAAAGAATGTTAAGGTATCTCAAACACGCGAGCCTCATATGAGGCGACTGTTAAATTGAACTGGGGATTTTCACACTTTTAATGGGGGAGTGTAACGGAATTACACGTACCCTTGTGAGATAGGGCAGGGTGCACAAGACTTTACGACCGTACATAGGTGTGTATTATACAATTAATGTAATAAACAGTGGTGTGGCTACAACGTATCACGAAGCATCCGCGTGGCAGGATTGCCAGTAGTAATACATATTACTATACTAATTAGACATTGCTTTATTAATTAGGTATTCTATATTAATCAGGAAAACCTGGAATTTTAGATATTGGCGGCTCTACCGCAACTAAAACAATTAATTACAGTTTCAATTTGAACAGAAGTGTTCGTTTGCCTTGGTCAAGGCTGTAGTACTTGGAGGTAGCGAATTGCGATCCGCTACAATCGTACTGGTTTCTTGGAAAGAACGTAAGGTCGGTGACCTTAGCTTAGCTTCGATTAAGCAAAGAGCTACAGCAGACCCGCTGCATAAGAGATGGACGCGGTCACTCGATTGTTGGGCGTCTACGTGATTGAGCCACCGGCTACTACTCAAGCTGAACTTGACGAACGTAAAGCTCTCCGGGCTCGCTTATTGACCCCTCAAGAAATCCCGGTGGATACGTACCGCACTTGACTCATGCTCAAAGAGGAGGCACTCCTGTACCCGCGATGCGGCCGATTCCTGTGGTGCTCGCCCCTGGCAACACCGCTGCAGATGACGAAGCGCTCTTGAGCGGTGAGTGCAGCGGCACCGGAAACTTTTATCGCTGTATAATTTACCGCTGGAGGTGGACGCGGGCGTGGAACGCCATCTTCGGTTTGAGTTTGACAAACTCGAGGCGAGTCGCCGACTTTCTTCAAATTGTCTGGACTAATCCATCATCATTCCGTGAGCTCTGTAATCTCTCACACGGGAGAGCCTGCTACCGCAGCAGCTCAGGGCCATAGCTTGAGCCCAGCTCATGACCCATCGGCTTACCTGACTATTGCCGAGAAGCGTGGGGCGTATGACGACGCGATACGTCATGATCTCTGATCATAAGCGCCGAGGTCTGGGCAGTCTTGCCGAATTGGCACTCAAACTCCCACGAGTTCTCAGAGTCAGGGTATTCCCGCTACTTCACAAAAAGTTTGACCCTGGCGACGACGTCGACACACAAAACGCTCCACGCGATAGTGGACGCCACCATTCTCGTCGAGAAGAGTCGGCAGCGGATGATGACGACTGGATTGATCGCCGTCCGGTGACTCGCGATGCTCTTCGAGCTTTTGAGAATAGATCCGTCGCGATCGAGACTCCGCTGAGCATCATGCTGGGGTAGCATAACGCTGCGCGGAAGACCTACAGAGCTTGGAGAACGTTGTGCACCAGCTGCCTCGTGTTGAGGACTATCGCGATATGTCGGAGCGGCTCCTAGCCGTTTAGCAGACGAATGCGTGGCTTCATTCAAAGGTGAAGTGCTTGGCGCCGTTGGAGATGGAGATTGTTGCACTCCGTGCTCAGACCCAGTTGCTAGTCCGGCTTCTCGGCGGTTGAGCTGCTGTGGGCGCCACTCCGGCGCCAACGCTTCCGCATTCACTTGCCGGCACGGCTTAAGTAATCCCTCATAAAACACCGGGTGGCTGCGCATCCGTTCGGAAACTTTGGCGTATACGCAAGGCTCCGCTCGGCCACAGCCTTGAAAGATCCGATAAACCGTAGACGATGATTCGTCTGATAGACAGCAGAAATTGCATGGGTAGAAAGGGTTTTAGCATTTAATAAAATCAGGAACCCGACCTCAAAGTTTTAAACATTTCCTCTACTTCGTCCGTCTGCATATTCCTTCTGCATGTCCTGGCTTTCAGCCACGATATCGCAAACGTGTAGTAAGACACTAAGTCTGGTAAACAGGAAGTCATCAACTTCTTAACGAACAGTGAAATGGCTGACACCAGCTAGCCGCTCGACTATTTCTCCCCTACTAAGCCTTGAGCCATGGGGGGGGCGGTGTCAGCGGGAGGCGAAGATTAACGAGCCCGTTCATGTAGAACAGCGTGTAGCCGGTAGACGCATGAACCGCGTTGTTCAGAGCGAATCCTACAAGTGGCAGCATGGCGCCCCAGGGCATCGGAGTCTCAGCGCAGACGCTGCGAAGGACGTCCTCGACGACGCGATTCGGTCGCTCAGTTTGATCATAGATCTGCGGATGGTCCGCTGTTGACATTGTAAATTTGGTGCCCAGCACTTTGAAAATTGTAGACAAAAACCTCCCAGTGAAGCGTGGATCTCTGTCCGCGGCAACTGACTCCGGGAACCCATGTTGTTGAAAGACACGATCCACAAACACCGTCGAAGGTGTCCGTCACCACCGCAAAATGTGCCATTTTGCTCAAATGGTCGACGAAAACGACGACATCCGTGTTGCCCGCCGAGTCTTTTGGCTGGCCAAACACAAAGTCCAAAATCATGAACTGCCAACACTCGGAGAGTACCGGTAAACTAAACAGTGGCGCCACCGCATTTGGAGAGACTTTTACCCTTTGATACGTCTTACACGTGCGCACATAGGTGCTCGTCCATTTCTACAGCTTGAGCCACCAGAAGTGGCAACTCACAGAGCTGTGGTTTCACGACCGAGTAGACACTGAGTAGGATGTCGTGGTCCTCATAGAGGATACGGTACTTCCAATCCACATCGTGAGGAACCACAATTCGTGGCGTATCCGTCGAGTCCGTGCTATAATACAGCAATCCGTTACTCAATAAATATTGGTGCAACTGTGCACGCAGTCGTGACGACAACGTCTAGCGCAACTTTCCAAACTCCTTGCTCCTGAGAGCTTGTGGCAGCGCTACACACATATCATCACCCGCGTACGCGGCGCGGATCAAATCCGCCACGGACGACACCGTCGTGACATGAGCAAGCTCATAATCTAGTCTGAGTGACAACGCATCAGCTAAAGCATTCTGTTTTCCTGGCTTCTACTCACCGCGAGTCATATTTTGCGATGAAGGAGAGCCATCTGGAGTGGTGAGGCGACTGAGTTGCTGTGCGTAAAGACGCATAATCTATGTAGATCACAAACTGCTTTAAGCCAAGCAGGTGCACCTCATCCGTCCTCCCGTGCTCCGCACGACTGTGAACGAAAATGTCGTCGAAATATGTCTGTGCATACGGCCGATGGGACCTGAACAACTGCGTCACAAGACGATTTAATGCTGCTGTTGCATTTGACAGCCCTTGGAGCATTACCAGCCACTCCCAGAGCATCCCAATCGGAGTACTCACCTCTGTCAGCAGAAAACCACTCGCTCTCATGAGCAATTGGTAATAATCATCGAGCAAGTCGAGTGCACTGTACTTTGTGTATATAACCATGTTATTCTGGAGAACATCCTTTCTAGGAATTGGCGTCTGTGCCGGAATGGTGGAAGCGATAAGCTTATTGTAAGCGTGAACGACACACCACTTACCGTTCCGCTTCCGGACACAGAACGTGGGTGTCGAAAGGGGAGACTTGCTCTCCCGCACCATTCCTGCGTCGTGCTTCGCTCGAAAGAAGACATCAATGAGGTCATACTGTTTCCTGGGCAGGGGCGATTGGCGTGCTATGCGGTATTTGGTTCCCGAAACCAGGCCGATCTTATGACGTACATCTTGGTCAGAAGGTAGGATCGACGGCGGGTCTTTGATGACGACGTCTTGAAATTTCTTTTTTAAAGGAGAGTACGAATTTTAAAAATCCTTCAGGATCATAGATGCACTTCGTTCATTAGAACCGCCTTGGTGTCCCCCAGGACAGACGACAAGTTTATCTCCTCTTCCAGTCGTTTAATGAACACTTCGGCTAAGTCGTCTGCCTTCAAGGCACCGCCGAACTCTCCGAGGGACAATTCGCCCAGATCAAGAAGAGCATCCATCGCTAGAATAGCCTCGAGGGTGATGTTGCCATCTTCCTCCCCCGTCAAACCGTTGCCGAGGGTGTATAGCTGTGCGCTATCGTCTACGGTAGACACAGCCGGGGTCAGGGTCGACGCCCGACGTCTTGCAGCTAGCATACGGCGTCACTGTTGCCTCTATACAGAGGTTGTACGTCACTCAACCGCTCCTTCGGCGCCTCAGTATACAGCTGATTACCCTCCATCGTGGAGCGTCGCGCATAATTACCCGACACCAGGAAGTCGATCAGGATCTTTCATGGCTTCTCAAGGCTCTTCACGGTTGCTTCCACAACCAGCACGCCCTGCTGACATACACGTTCCGTGTTCAAGAGAACAGAGCTCTTCGGGGCTGGGCCCTGCTGACCTGTACCTTCTTGAGTCTCAAAAGAACTTAGTTCTCTCCAGTAGGCTGCCCCACGCCTTGTCAATTCCCCGTGACAAACCAGAAGACCGGTAGGAAGTGGAACGTCGGTTCGATGATCCTTAACGCGCCTGGCTCAGGGGACAACCTATTCGATGGTGACGGGCGTCTCCACATACAAACTACCTTCGAGTGTTCGAACGCTGCTTAGCAGCTTAGATCTCTGCCTCCTCGTCTTCAGCATAGCTGAGATCCATCGGCTCAGGCTCCTCGACAAGCTGCTAGAGTATGCATTACAACCAAGTCGTGCCGCCTTGAAATTGAATTTAGCGTTCAATGCCACATTCACTGCTTTTTCAGAAGAAGACGGATGCACGCAGACCTTCATTCTGGGTACGTCAGTACGAAAACTCTACGTAAAGACGGTAACTGCGACCGCCTCGGGGAGAGGATCGGCTGCCGGCAATGAGAGTACGCATCTCTTGGACAAAGTCCACCAATTTCTTCTTGCCCTGCCGGGCGGCAAGGAAACGCGATTGCACATGATATGCCTGGTTAGACGGCAAGAACAGTAGCAAAAGCTGCAGCTTCAGCTCCGTCCAGGAGAAATTGCCGCTTCAGCCGAAGTACCGCACGTCAGGGCCCATTCTCTCGCTTGACCCCCGAGCATGGAGATAGCTAGCGCCACGCGCTTTTGCTCGTTTTAAAGTATGGCGGATGCCATTGCCATCTAGGCCTCTCTCACCCAGAACAGACGATTCTCTCCATCGTTGCCCTCCAAGGTCTTGAGGCTCACGACGAGTAGCTTAGACTGGAAGAAGTCATCCGTTGACGCCAGGTGGCGTCATGGACGCAGTCAACGCTGATATCATCTACTCTAGGTGCTCTAGCAGAGCATCTACATAACTTGAAAGCGTCTTTAGGCGCGCGCTGATTGCTTTAGGTCCTTGCGAAGCGGGGTGTTGCACGCCCTCAGGGCCAATCAGACACATCAGCTTTTAAGCCCGTCCTGCGCGCCCTGGGGCAAATAAGCGAACTGCTTCATCTTCACAGAGGGTCAGTCGTAACGATTCAGGTGTAGATTGACTAAGACTGCTACCAAGTGCAGCGGGACCGCCGTAGCTCTTTCGCTTAGAGGAAGCTTGGTGACTGTGTAGTGGATCGCAATCCACTTACCCCAAGAGTAACTACAATCTTGACCCAAGGCTAATTAACTCTTTCGTTTAGAACGTAAACTAAATTTCTCACTTTATTTGCGGTAAGCCGCCTTTATCTAAGTCTATAGGCTCTCCTATTTAAATAGTAAAACCCGATTAAATGTATAACTACTGGCTGTTCCAGCCACGTACTGAATTTTTGTTTAAGTGTAGCCATACTATTGAGTAGTCACACCATCAAGTGTGATCCACAACATTATGTGATCACACCATCTTTTATGACCCACACCCTTCATACCACGGCACGTGAAATGCAAAGGGCTGCCGCAGCTTATTTAGATGCATAGATTTTCCTAAATATATATAGTAAAATTTTAATACATGTATAACTACTGGCTATCCAGCCCCGTACCGTATTCTTGTTTGGGTGTGGT